GCTCTTGCTGTGGCCGCGTTGAGTAGGCTGGGGGGGTGGGCAAGAAGCTGGGAGGGGACACAGCTGACCAAAAGGGTGTTTGCACACCGTGTGATGTCATGCTTTGACATCAAAACAGGGTCAGCAGAAGAGGGGAGGTTCTGCTGCTCAGAGCCTGCCTGGGCATTGCTGCACTTGTGGGTGGTGAGTGATTGCATTTGCATCACTTGGGGTTTTTGGTGGGGTTTTTTTTTTCCCTCTCTCTTCACTTATTAAACCGCCCTCCTCTCCACCCACGGCTTTTCTCACTTCTGCTCCTCCTGCTCAGGCTGGGGAGTGAGTGCGTGGCCGTGCCACCACGCTAGCGCGGGCAGCCCGTGACAGCAGTGCTGCCTTCAACCTTGGATTTTGGTGCTAAACCCAAGCCCAGAAACGGGCTCGACTGTCGGCCACTGCAGCGAGGCCATCGGCTGCCTCCCGCGCTGGAAACCACGAGGCAGCGCTTCACCGCAGCGGCTGGGCTGGAGCAGGGCGGGTTTGCCCAGGGCTTGTGCCGAGCCCAGGGCTTGTACCGAGCCACCTCTCCCACTGCGCCGGGGTGCGGGCGGAAGCCCACCGAACACGCGCTTGCCAGGGCTCGACGCAATCTTGCCAGCCTCCATGAACCGAACACGCGCTTGCTAGGGCTGGACGAAATCTTGCGTGTCTCCATGTTGGGCAGCCCGGGAGGGAGCCTGGAAAGCTGCTGGAGCCTTCAAAACGCAGGAGGGACGAGGGAGCGGTGCAGGACACAGCAAAGACACCGGTAGGGCAAGTGGGCTTGAATTTTATTTACTTATTTTTTTAAATCTTAAAATAGGCATCCTAACGCTGGTCTGGACACTGTACCCCGCACAGAGCCTGCTTCAGCTGCCGGGTAGCCCTGCCGGAACCGAGGGCACAGCGTGAAAATTCGTGGCCCCAGGTGGGATTTCGTGGCTGCGGGGGCTCTGGCTGGCTCCGATGGTGGCCAACGAGCTTCAACAAGCGCCGGACGAGTCTCAGCCAGCAGAAGCTTGAGGCGGGGCAATGACACGGGGGGGGGCGG